GTGAAAAGTGAAACTGAATGTGAATCACTGCTGTTCAGATTGGTTTTATTGTTCTGCAAGACAAGTAAAAATATACTACTGTTCTACTAAAGTAAAATAAACAAAAAATATATAAGAAAGGTAAATGTTCATACTATAATCCTCATGGTTAACATTTAAATTGATAATGTTACAAACTTAGTTTCTGCTGTGAGTTATGCACTGCAAATGTTACATGTAAGTAATTGCTTCAGGAAAAGGGAAATGTTATGTTCTGTTATTGCACCAAAAGGACAGTAGGGGGAGCTCTGTACATGGATATGTGATACTGCTGTATGTGAGTGAGGAGGAGAAGGAGACGGAGAATAAAAAGAAAGGACTGAAGCTGAACCAGACTGAGGCTACTTAATTTCGATTACTTTAATATAGCAACACAACACAACAGGGATTTACATAAATATTATAGTTCCAAATTAACTATTTAGATTGCCAGAAAAGTTTGGGTCAGTAAGCAAACTATTTATTTCACAAACTAAACATTTATTATTCCAATGAAATATTTTTCGTTTTCAAACTAAATATATTGAGTTTGGAGATAAATACTTAGTTCACAAAATAAATATTTAATTTGTGAACTAAATATTTAGCTTGCTGACCAAATATTTAACTGGCAATCTAAATATGTATTTGGGAACTTAAGTAATTATAAATGTATGAAATAGTCGTGAAAATAGGACTTGGAAAACTATCCCCTTTTTATATAAAAAAATATTGCTCTTAATTTTTGACAGTGGAGCTTATATTTTTGAATGAATTCATAATTATCAGATTTGTGTGTGTATTTTCATTTTGTGTTTATAATTTTATTGTATTTAAATTTGAACAGACGTTCAGACAAGAACCTGAAGTAAATGCTCTCCATATTTAACAGCGTAATAAGGGAGTTGTACTTTTTCTAGTTGACCACACGATGGCGATCTTGGTCTTTATTGCCCATCTGATGGATTACCACCGCCAAATTAATTCCACTCATTTTACTTTCGTTTCAGCACAAGCTGTCTGAAATAAGACGGAACGTTGCAAACAATGGCTAACAAAACAGAGGCCTCCAACTCAGGTTAGTAACATTTTAATAAAGAAATTTGCTTTTCTTCTTTAACGATTATAGATCAGTTTGAGGTTCATCTCTTTAAAAATGAGGCAGTTTCACTGGAAACGTTTAGACCTCATTTGAAACTGGGAGGTTTGTGTCGACTGTGTTTTGAGTATTATTCAAAACACAACACAAAGGGAGTCTTGTCTGTTGTCTCAGGAAAAACAACAGAGCACTATGATTGTGAACACTTCACAGTAATTAAGTCTTATTTCCCTTTACAGGACAAAGCCAGAGCAACAATCATCCACAGTTGAGGATTGTGTTAATAGGAGGAAGAGAATTAAATGGAATCGGCAGTGGTAAAAGTTCAGCTGGAAACATCATCCTGGGTCAAAATGTTTTTAACACCAGCATAAGAACAGCTCAGAGTGAAGCGAGGCAGCAGGAAGTATTTGGAAGACAAATCACAGTGGTTGATACTCCAGGCTGGTGGTGGTTTTTTCCACGAGAAAACACCCCAAAACTGGATCAGATAGAAATCCAGAGCAGTGTTCATCTGTGTCCCCCAGGACCTAATGTCTTCCTTCTGGTCATTCCTGTTGGTTTAAATTTTTCTACCCTTACCATACCTTCATTAAAAAAACACCTGGAGCTTTTTAATACAGATGTTTTTAGTCACACCATTGTGCTGTTCACTGTGGTTGCTCCAGTTAGTGATAAAAGGATTGAATCCAATATTAAAGCAAATGCAACCCTGAAGTGGATTCTTCATCAATGTGGAGACAGAAAGCATGTTTTAAACATCAGCAATAGAGATGACAGAGATCAAGTCAAGCTGCTTATTGAGAAAATGGAAACAGTTGTTGGACAAAACAGAGGCAGACCCTTTTCCGTTGATGTTTCTCATGAAAATGCTCTAAGGGAAGAAATTAAACTCCTAGAGGAAAGAGCATCCCAAAGGAAGGACAAAGCCCAGAAACAAAGACAAAAACTCAGAGCCCTGATTGAAGGTAGGAAAAAAAAGCTTTTTTTTATTTTTCACTCTATTATCTCAACTCTCTTTGCAGCCATTGTGGTTAATGAAATATATATTTCAAGTAGCATATAGGAAACCTTTGCTATCCTTAGCAGTTTGTAGTATAGCTGGTTTTATAAAGCAATGCACAATTGTATTAATTCTAAGAAGAAACTGTCACGGGACATTCTAGTAGGAGTCCCATGTGGGAGCAGCTGGAAGGAAATGGCTACTGAATAAAAAAGTTAGATGTACTAGTCATACTTACATAGTTTATACTGTTTATTTTTTTGTACAGAATAGAACTGTTCTTGAATTTCGCTACTATGCTTATTTTACTTTTTATCCCTTTTATCATTTTATTTTTAACAATATGTTTACATAAGGCCGTACCACGTGCTCGTTCCATTAGCTATATTTTTCTACACATGCGCACTTTCAGGCATATAGGTGTGGTGAGCTATAGTTTCAGTCAGTCATTGAAGCTCACCTTTCTCACCGTTGTTCTTTGAAAATGGCAGAGGGTCATAAGTGAAGTGTCAGAGAAGAAAGAAAGGCCTCAGGAGAGGTAGATATATCCGAGAATGCTTTAAGCATTCTCTGAAAGCATTATGGGATTTGCTGTCACAGCAGCCAGCTGTCGCCATAGGCTGTCGCTAGTAGCGCCGGTGTTGGGTAGCGAGTCGCTACCCAACACCGGCAACTAATAACAAAGATGGTGCAGGCACCATGCAGTGGAGGAGGAGCTATGTGACCAATGGAGAGCAAGAAGTAGTGATCATCTGTCCAAACAGTCAGTTAACTGAGTTCCCTATTAAGTCCACTATATAGTCCCCGCCATAGACATATATAAAGAGTAGACCCCGCATTGACGGTCACGGCGCAGGAATTACGGCGGCTATCTTGGGGCGGTCGAACTTCAGCCCTATTCCGCTGGTTTAAGCTGGTCAGACGAAGGATGCCTCAGCACTGTGCAGCGTTTTTCTGTTTGAATCGACGGCCTATTGACGTCAGGGCTCGAGGGATAACTCTACACGAGTCATATGAAAAGAAGATGATTTATGAAGATAAGGCTGCACCACATTGCCAAAGTCACCACTCTTGAACTCCAGAAGGGGAACACAAGAAAAAAGCTCTGCAAAACAGTCCTTTTTCAGGGCTTTTAGCTAATATTAGAGAGATGTGTGTGTGTGTATATATGTTTGTGTACAACTGTGTGTTTGTATATGGTAGTAAAAAAATTATTTAATTGTGTGAGTGGCTGTTATTTGCAACATACATACATCCTGTGTGAATATTATATTACTTTTAACCACACTAAGAATATTTAAATGCACTGAACCATTTGGTATAATAACTATAGTTTTAAAGTTTTCAGAAAAAAACAATGTGAAAGTTAGTTCAATATTCAGCGAGTTATAGTTGACTAAAATTGATTCTGTGCCTGGTCAACACATTACACTGAGCAGAGCAGTCGACCATGTGTGCGAAATATCTGTCAATATTTGGGGGGGGGCTCAGTCCCTGATTGTTGCGCAATGCCGATCTAAATTTTCTCAATATGCAGTAGGCCTATAACATTGCAATGCCAAAGTCAACGTCAGCTTTAATGTCAATTCCTTATATTCAACAGACATACAAGGACTCAATGTCAATATACAATAATATAAAATATACAATACTTATGCTAGTGCAAAAAGACAGATAGTAATGGCAGCAGAAAAAAAATATTATTATTACTAATTATGTAAAATATATTTGTAACAGTAATAGTACAAAAGAACAGTAAATAAATATAGTAATAACAGTAGTGCAGGAGACAGTTTGTCCGGGGTCATTTTTTGTTTTTGAGGGGGGGTCAGCTTCCTGACAGCCTGGAGGATGTGGCTGTGGGGAGAGAGTTTAGCTTCCTGACAGCTTGGTGGATGAAGTTATCTGTGAATCTGTTGGAGCGGGCAAGAGCCTTAACAGTCAGTCAGTCTATGAAAACACACACGCACATCCTCCCCTCTCTCAGGACAAGGCGTGCACGAGTCCTGTCATGAAAAAAAGGTTCATTGTGCAACCTGAGTAACGTGCATTAACGGGGTGTCTGTCTGTCTGTTTCTCTGTCTGTCTCTCTCTTTCATATACACACGCACATGTCCTGTTTTAATCCAGTTTCTGACGAATGGAACTGGGTCTAGTTTGTCCAGAGGAGCTCCGTTGAGGTCCACAAACAGGAGTGAAGATCTGCTGTCTTCACGCAATCTGTTCCGCATCTGGTTGCCCGTGTTATTAACTGCGGAAAAGCACATGGCTAATTTGCATACGCAAACTGGATTGGCTGGCTCCACTTGGAAAAAAACAGAACATATTTGTGAATAAATGTTTTGAATTTTAATACTGGACATGTTGAGCTTAAAAACATTTTAGTGACCATTAGTGACAAAAAATATTTTATTTTTAACTTTTTTGACACAATTTAAGACCCCCTTTAAATTTTGCTTTTGAGGCTTTCAGGGGGTCTCATGGACTAATCGGCCGGCGTCAAGCCCCCCCCGACACCCCGTATTTCGCACTCTGGTCTATGGTCCCCGCTCTTTATAGTGATTGAGGGATTTAGGGTTTAGAGCAGGGGTGTCAAAGTGGTTCCAGAAAGGGCTGTGTGGCTGCAGGTTTTCTTTCTAACCAAGCAATAGCACACAAGATTCCAGTCATCTCAAGTGAGTCCAATCTGAACATGATGACTTGAGTTAACTGGAGTCTGGTGTGCTATTGCTTGGTTAGAAAGAAAACCTGCAGCCACACGGCCCTTTCTGGAACCACTTTGACACCCCTGGGTCAGAGCATTCGTTCGGACACAGTAAGCTTGTAAGAGAACAGCAACTTTTAAACAGTGTGCACGAGGAGAAATGGCATCGCTCTTCAAAGCTTTTAATGGGCGTTCCCTCTCGGGAACGGGTACAAGGTTGTGCATGTGTATTTTCTTTTAAGTGGAGAGGGCAGGTCTTTTAAAAAATTTGCGAAGATTCTCCACAATACCTTTAATTAATCCCTGGCGGGAAATTCTTTTCTTGCAATGCTAGTGTTTACAGAAGAACCCTAGAAAAATAAGATTATATTTACAATAGAGCAAAATAAAATATAATATAGACAGAATAAAATAAGTAAAATTACAACCCACACAGTAAAATTACGCCCTTCCCATTTAAACAGAATGAACAGAATATACATAAGCACTCGACGTACAGCTTAAATCTAAACACATAACATATTCATATTAACATTTATCATAATTTGAACCTAATTTTTGAGGCTAATCTAAAGACTGGCTTGGGTGCAGGCTTCAAATAGAGAAATCACAATTATGCCCGCTTTGGAACAGATTAAATTAAGCAAGAGATAGATTTGCTGTAACCGGCAACATGTCCAGAATGTACCCGGCCTCTCGCCCGTGGACGGCTGGAGATAGGCACCAGCACCCCTCGCGACCCCAGCAGGGATAAGAGTGACGGAAAATGTATGGGTGGATGATTTGCTGTAAACACAACAAAGAGTGAGGGAATAGCCAGATAAATTAACCCTGTTCAGTCAATGAAAATAACATATCTTAAAATACAGCGAGAATATGGCTTTTATAATGATGGGAGCACTGCTAACCAGGTATTTCAGCCAGTAATAAACCACTGTGAGAGAGATGGCCAGAGGGGAACAATAGTGAATGGATAACTCACTGCATAGAATTTACCACAACAGCTTGACACCAATATTCAGAACTGCTCCATTTTTTTGTAAACATTGTTTTTGCTTCTACTGATTTTAATTTTATGATAATAGACAGACAGGTAATTAGATTAGAATAAAGGCCTTCAGCAACAGTCACCAGGGCCAGGACTCAAACCTGTTGTGGCCGCATGAAGAACCAAAACATCCATACTGGTCACGGGCTTAATCCCCTACACCATCCCCAAAAATCCTCTACTGGCTAAGGAAATCAAACTGATACTTGCCAAGCATAAGAAATGACTATAAGAGTACAAACATTTTTAGAGGACAGGACCTACTCAATCAAATAAGACTCCAGATGTGGGCTGTGCAAATGTGACCCCAGAGACTGTGTTGTACAGAATGGCAGATGCTAGTACCAGGCAGCCCGGAAAAGTCAGTGTTCACTGTGCCAAGATAAATGTAGAGGAACATCCATGCATAGTACTGGTTTAAAGTTCTGTATTATATTAGTGAGGAAAACAGTGATCACCCAAACTACCTCTGAAAATCATGTTAGAAAGCAGTCCCAGAAATAGGCAAATTCATGATGCAGAACAGCCCAAGTAGATAAGGGTAAGTAAAAGATAACCAGGTATTTTTATGTAAAAGGTTTCTCTTTACAATTAAATTTATAATTGGACTAAGTAATTAATTATTTTTTTCTTCCCCAGGTGGAAAAGCTCTACCACAGCATTTAAAACTGGTAATTATTGGTGCACAGTATGCAGCCAGGAGCTCCACAGGAAACACAATTCTTGGAAAGAATGCATTTGAGGTTAATAAAAATGGTAACAAAACAATGCGCTGCCAAATAAACCAGGGTTTCTTTCAAGAAAAACAGCTAACAGTGGTAGATTCTCCTGGATGGTTTTATAATCACACCCTTCAGACCACCAGTGAGATGGATAAACTGGAAATAGAAAAAAGTGTGCATTTGTGCCCTCCAGGACCACATGCTATCCTGCTTGTAATTGTCCTGGCTACTGCAATCAACCAATCTTATAAGAGAGCAGTTAGCAGGCACATGATGCTTTTTAGAGAAGAAATCTGGAAACATACAATTGTTGTGTTTACCAGAGGAGACTGGTTAGGAGTGAAAACTGTGGAGGAGCGAATAGAGAGTGAGGAGGGTCTACAGTGGCTAGTGAACAAGTGTGGGAACAGGTATCATGTACTTAATAACATGGACAAGAGTAATAAGACCCAGGTAAAGGAGCTCATTGAGAAGATTGAAGAGATGTGGGTAGGGAGTGAAGATCCTTATTATGAAGTGGACCTGAACCGAGCAGAACAGATAGAAGCTGAGAAAGAGGCTGGAGACAAAATGGCCATTAGGCTGAAGAGGATTAATGAGAGAAAGTCAAGAGTCCTAAAAGAGGTGTATGGAGGAGGTGTGTTAAAAATTAAAACAAATATCACTACAGTTTAATGTGTAATCAGTTGTTTAGCACGTAAAAGGCACAACACAATTATGTTTTTCTTCACAGCCCCAAGGCAGCCAGTGACTGACATCAGGATTGTTCTCGTTGGCCCAAAATGTTCTGGAAAAAGTATGGCTGGAAACATTATCCTTTTCAAGGAGATGTTTGACCTTGCTTTTGACACAACAAGATTAAGAGAGGTGAACTAAGAAGCTGCATGTATCATTCTATTGGATATTATTTACTATGCCAAGATGTTAAACAATATTAATGCACGGAATTATTGTCTAAAAAATAGCTTTTAAAATATTTTTTCAGATGTGTGAAGACCAAAGTAACTACACTACACCTTTGAAACATGAGGGAAACTTTGATGGAGTAAAAGTCTCAGTTGTAGAAACACCAGGCTGGTTCTCAGACCAAACACCACCTGACTGGATCAGAGAGCAGCTTCTCCATGGTGTCTCCATGTGTTCTCCTGGACCTCATGTTTTTCTCCTGGTTGTTCCGATCTCCAGCTCTTTCACAAAGGAAGATCTCAAAGCTCTGGTTAAAGTCTTGAAGCCATTATCAGAGAGAGTGTGGAGATACTGCATGGTGCTGTTTACCTGGGGAGACTGGCTCAGTGATCTCCCTGTAGAGAACTACATCGTGAGAGAGGGGAAAGAGCTCCAGAAGCTTTTGGAGAAATGTGGGAACAGATACCATGTTCTAAGCCCCTACCGATTTGGGGATCCTGTTCCAGTTAAAGAGCTGTTCCAAAAAATTATTGGCATTGTAAAAAGAAACGACCAACACTTCACAACTGATGTTAAGCAAAGAAAATTTCAGTTGCTACCTTGGCTAGCAAAAGAACACATCTTGACTGAAGAGGAATGGAAGAAAAGGGAGAATGAGCTTATGGAGCAGGTGATGAAAGCTCTAACAGAAGAACCAGAGGAAGGATCCGTGCCTTCTGTAAGGGTGGCAGAGAGCATGGATGACACGAAGTTTCCATACAGTAAGTTACAGTGACCATAGGCTTAGTTTTTTTTATTTGCATCTTGTTAGTCCAGTGCATTGTGCTAACTTGTGAAATTATTTCCATCTTCTGTTTCAGTGAGCGGAGATGTTGCCTCAGAATATGGGAGCATTTCAGAGTTTAGGAATCAACAAGCTCATGACCGTGTTGCTGAATGGCTGAGGAACAGAATGAAACGCTCTGAGGCCAGCTCAGGAATCGTTAGTGATTGTGCTTCATCCACTCATGAAACACTTGATGAAGGTCTTCAAGTAGAAGTACCTTTTCCAGTAAATAGCTTATTCACAAAAATGAAAACTCCTCTCCGAATGTCTGTAAACACTGCAAATGTTTTACGCAGGAACTCTTTTTAAGGTATTAAGAATAATCCAAAATAACACAATTTAAGAAGTCATTGTTAAAATCTGTTTCTGATATTGGAGTATTTTCAACAATATCAGCCATAATAACTCTAGTTTTTACAACATCGTAATAAGAAAACTCTTATGTCTCTCAATCTATAACTGGGAATTATTTTTATAGACGCATTCCAGAGTTTTTTAATGATGCTCCCATCTGTGGCCAAAACACAGCACTGCAGCATTCTTCTGCTCATTTTTGTAGCGCATGCTCATACTTCACCTTGGTACATTGGTGTCTGAGTTGAGTTGGTTGCCGGTCAATTATCCAAAAAATCCATCTTTATTTTATAACCCTTTAATTGTTTGCTAGGTTGAACCCATTTAACATGGGCGGATTTGATGTTGACATCCGCAGAACAGCGCTGTAACTTACGACCTGAAGTACATTCAGGCTGGTAGATGCATCGGCGCTGCACTACTGAGGTGTCAGTCTGCTCAACAGAGGATGTTTTAGTCATAAGGGGTCAAATAGAAAGCTATTGTAAATATAGATATTTATACTATATATATATTTTTATATATTTAATGTTTCTTTAAATTGATTCTACTTATCGATAGTCACAATTTTCTTTCCTAAAAATGTGAAAATGAAACACAAAAACATTCCTGAATAACGTAACATCCAGAAACCCTTTTTGTGCTTTTTCTTGCATTTGATGACGACGCAAATCTGATTAGATAAAAAGGAGTCCAGATGAGAGACCTGATCTCTCTTTGGAGGAAAAGACATTTAAGTCCATCTTAGGCCAGTTTAACTATGTTAGGGTTGGCTCAGTGTGCTAATGCCCTCATGGTGATGCTATGTTGTTCCCAAACAGAAAACTAATTGATACAAAAACCTTAATTCCCTCAGCCAATCAGCTTTTAAGCTCGGTTGAGCAATAGCCAAAGAGTTTGCTGTTGTTTTTTATATCTTTATTATTTTTCAACATTTTTTATTCTTATTTTTGATATCTCAGTTGCATAAGTTGTATCTCCGTTATATACCAGTGTTTGTGAAATGTGGTTAAAGGACATTGCATACTGTATGTTTTTTCCTTGATTGATTGCTATGATTTCCAGAGAGAGCTGCAAACCGAATTTCCACCTTTTCCAGGATAAATAAAGTTGTCTGTTTTTTTAATTAAATAGTAAAACTCTGCAGAAATGTTTTTTTTTAAAAACATTTGGTTTTGTATTTTGTGTTTATTCTGTGGTTATTGATTCTATATTTTTCACCATGCATTGGATTTGCATTTCCATTACTGTTTTATTTTTATAATATATTATCTCTTGTTCTGTGCACCTGAAATGAAATCAAACATTTGCAACACTCTTAAAAATAAATGTATACATTCATATAAAACTATTTCAAAGAGGACCTTTTCTTTTGGAATCAATTCCGTCTTTTTTTCTTCTTAATAACCAGTGATTTTTTTTTATCAATGTGTCAAAGATGCAGCAAACCAGCAAATTTCATTTGAATGGAGCTGTTTCTTCAGCCAATTGGTCACCCTAACACCCGCTGCCAAATTCCTTTTTTTTTTTTTTTTTCACTATCCTGTCTTGGCAATGTGGCAATAAGAATAATTGTCTTGATGCCAATCAGAGCCCAACAGATTTTACTTTCACAAGTGGAGCAGTACGGCTATTGCCATAGTGTTCCACTTGTTTCATGTATATAAATTTCTTTATTATAATTATTCAGGAAGTTTTACAGGTTATATGGACACTGCAATGTAAGTAGAACAGAACAGGAAAATAAAGGAGAAAAGATGAACGAAAGAGGAGATAAAAGGGAGATAATGATAAAACATTTTCAGTCTGCTTCCTCACCTGCAATGAGATGTAAAAAGAACAGCACAACCAACAGACATGGTACGAGACATACAATAAAGTAACACCTAGATACTATCGCTGAAGTAGTATTATTTAATCTGACATGTACTCTGTGTTACCTGAAGATAATAATGTGGGCTTTCTGTATGGAAGTGAATCTCTGTGTACCTGGAACCAAGCACCTGTAGTTGTTTGTGAGAGTGCACATAAAGTTTATTCATAGAAAAAATGCTCAATAGTGGTTGTGGAGAGCCAAAGAGGCATCCCCCCAGAGCACTGAGTCCAGTGCCGGAAGACCCAAAGCCCCAGACACCCAAAGGGACCCAAAGAGCGAAGGCACCAAGGAGGGGCCAGTCCAGGTAATCCGACCCCCACCAAGGGAGAAGGAGAGACACCCCTGAGCAAGTCCCCCATCCACCGCAATGCCGGAGCCCCCGGGAGCCGCAGGGACGAGTCTGCAGCCAGCCACCCCGAAGTGAATCAGGCTCTGGGACCCAGGGATCCGAGGCCCCAGGGGCGCCCCAACCCCTGGCAGGAGCCCCAGCCAGGCCAAGGACCCGACGACAGCGGTGGTTGGTCCTGGGATTATCGGATGACCCAATAAGTGAATCTAAAATCCGGATGGGGGGAGGAGAGCGGTGACACCGCCACACCAACCCATGAGACCACCCTCAGCAAAAGCTCCCCCAGCCACTACACGCCCCTCCCTCCAACCTCCTTGCTGAAGCTGAAGTGACAGCCCTGCCACCGTCAGGCCCCGCAGCCGCCCCCCACCAAGACCACAGACCAGGCGGCTCGCTCTTCCTACAGGCCCCAGACTCCGGGTGGGAGCCGGGGAACAGGGGTGTGAGAAGACCCTGATCCTCCCTGCACCTACTTGAATATGATGTTGTTGCGTGTTGCTCTCAGGTGTATTTACAACTGGGAGTACCAAAAGGGGGTGTCTAGCACAGTCCAGCCCCCCTCCGGGAGACAGGCGGTGCCAGTGCACCCCCCCAATCTACAACCCAGAACCGTCAATGTCTAAATGCGAGAGGGGATGGGGGGAGCTGACCGTGGTGAGGCCCATGAAATAAGGTTATGCGGGCGGTATCAGATCTGTCACCAGCCGTCTGTCACCAGCAGTGAAAAACAATAAAACAAATCAACAAGAAAATGTTTAAATAAGCAGCAGTGCAGAGAAACTGTCCGTGGCTGAAACATGCCCCAAAGTCTGGTTTCTCCAAAAGGAACAGAAAGAAAGAAGAGAGGGAAGAGAAGGAGAAAGGCCCAGTTTTTCAAGTAAGGTTTGTGACCTGAATCTTTGTAGCTTTGTATTAATTTGATTATGAAGAAATGTATTTCAGATATCAAAAATACATATTCAGTCAAGCTGGTCAATGTCAAAACAGCCACTTAAAATGTGTAAACATTTCTAAATATATAAAACCTAATTCTTACTAAAACAATTTATGTTTTTTTATTTTCTGAAATTCAGTTTCTTCTGGCTAAAGTGTAATTAAGAACCTCTATTATTATAGCTCTGACTAGGATTTTGGTTTTGACGAAGAAGAATCCTATTATTGATCTACATATGAAACAACACAGAGGAGAGTGCTTTTAATAAATGTTAAAATGGCCTGCCACAGTGCACTTCATATAATCCTATGCTTTAACTCAAACAACAATCTTATCTTCCACAATCTTCCTTTCCTTTGCAGCTGTATTGCTGTGGCTCTGTCTTTTAAACACATTCTCCACGTTTTATCAATTTCTTCATTAAAATCTGCAGTTCCAATTCAATTAGATAAATATTTATTTTAGAGTTGATGTTAAAGGGTTAAGATATTTACTGTATAACAAAAGAAAAATATCATAAAGCTAAATAAATTATTAATTAATTTATGTTAAATATGTAAAAAAAAAAATCAAAAATAAAAAGTATAGATACGTCACTAATACTGCTCTTATTTTGAAACATATTCTACATATTACTACCGTAATTCTTAGTATTCGCTCAACCAAATTTAAACATGTAAGGGCTGACTTGACTGTCGATTCCGAAGTAGAGGCTGGCGGAGGCTAACCGGACCCCTAACAAACCATTTTAGGAAAAATAAATCCATACATGTAGAGCAAAATAACTTGTATGACAAAAAAATTTAGTGTGAGGTTGCCTTTGAATTTGTATTTAAATTAGTGAATATTCATTGACAATTAAATGTATCTTTAAGTCAGTCTGGAATAAGTATATAGATGTATTTAACATAAATGACGAGTATTGGGCAATAATTAATTAAATTCCATTCAGTTTATTTATATCATGCCAATTCACAACAAATGTCATCTCAAGGTACTTTACAGTTCACTTATGTTCAATTATGCAAACTATCTGCTACTCAGTCATGGTGCTCTCTTGCTCCACTCGGATGCATGTAACAACACCATGTGACTCGGAAGTACCTGACGCAAGAGTTCGTTACTCGCTACAACAATGAAACAAGAAGGAAAGCAGTGAGTAGAGACTGATGAATTATAGTGAAATCGTTTGTCTTTCAGTTTCCTTACTAAAAAGAAAGGAAGACAAAATAAATAAAAAAAAAAAACATGGAAACAGAAGTTATGGCCCACAATTAAACTTGTCATGGAATCAATAATTCATTGATTATTGTGATAGGCCTACACTAATATGTACTACATGTACATACTGCCTCTGATCATAATTTATACAGGTCCTTCTCAAAATATTAGTATATTGGATAAAGTTCATTATGTTACATAATGTAATGATAAATTTGAACATTCATATATTTTAGATTCATTGCACACTAACTTAAATATTTCAGATCCTTAATTGTCTTAATATGGAGGATTTTGGTATACAGCTCATGAAAACCCTAAATTCCCATCTGACTCTGGAACCTTGATTTCCAAATGACATGCAAAATTTGCTGTATACTTTTATGTTGTGTCTGTGCATTAGCCTTTAAATATGACATAGATATGAAATATAGCTAAATTAATGAACCAATTTAATAACTACGCAGAGCTTCAGTTTGTATATGCTCTTCTGATTTTTGGAAGGCAATTCACATCATAGGTTATAAATCAATATAAAAAAAGGTGTGTTTCGTTATATTCTTGAGGAAATTCTAACTGTCATGTTGGGATCAAGGTTTCTAACCCACATGCAGAACACACGGACTCAGAGGGAAAAGTTCAACAGTTTATTGAAACACAATGATAATAAAGAACAGATGTTTGGGAAACAGATCCAGGACTGGTCACAACTGGGTTCTCTGCAGAGAGGGACAGTTCGGTTAGCTGAGATCCAAATACTGTTGTTTGTTGAGTAATTCAAAACATTTATTTATAAACTTTAGATTAATTTAAAAGGCTTAAATAATGTGACTTAAAATCCTGTATCTTTATATTATATGAACCAGTTTCCAGTGATGATTTTTTTGCAGCTTACATATTATTATTCTTTATTCAGGAGGCTTTTCTTTCACTAGTTGAGAAAGTCAGGGGTATATGGGACCTGTTCAGGAGGAAACCACAAATAAACTGGATTTTGGAGAAGACAGACAATAACATTTGGCCCTGGATGTAAACACCCAGTCCAATGAATTGCAGCCTTTTTAAAGACATGTACCACTTGTAGTATATTTTTTATGCTAAGTGCTCCCTTAACCAAAAAAGACATTCAACATTTTTGTTCAGGTTCCAAATTCCTCTATAAATATGAATTTCTACACGTTTTATATATTTTTATCATTGTACCTTACAATATCTTATGAAGTGACAAAATAATGAACATATATCATTATAATGTTGAGAAATGTAAAGGATATTAATTACGGTATTATAATTGTTTTTTAGAATAACAAAATAAAGTCATATCCTTATCTAACCTCTTTTTCATATTTCATATCATGTCATGGCCATTTATTTTAAGTGATCACCAAACTCCTCGTCATATTTTCTTATATTACATTTTGTTTTTGATTAGAATATGTATATATATATATATATATATATATATATATATATATATATATATATATATATATATATATATATACAGTATAGCACTGTGCTTTTAACTGCTCTCGTTAAACATTATTTAAAACAAATTAAAGTTAATATGAAAACCTTTAAAGATGAGATAACACAGGTCTTAAGTACATCAAGCTAGTATATCTTCATACTGGTCCTTTAGTTCCAATCTTTTTGTTCTGCTCTTTGGTCTAACAAGAGACATTAAAGAGTTGGACAACATGTTCAGAGCAGTGGCGGCTGGTGAAAAATATTTTTGGTGGGGCTGATATAGTATGTGCATGTGCAGATTCTCTGCACATGTAGAGCAGTCTGATCACAGCCCCAAGACAGAGACGGTAGGAGTCTGTCTGTGGAAATCCACAAATGAATGACAGTAGGTAGGGAAATTTAGTTTATATAATTTGTTTTGCTTATAGGTACACACTCTAGAGAGTAAAACTGACATTTATGAGCTAATTTGTAAAAATATATTTTAAGTTTCTCTCTTCTTATCAGGGAGGGTGGTGCCCCAGCGCCCCCTATGGGCCGGCCGCCACTGGTTCAGAGTATCTTTATTAATATGTTGTGAGATTTAACTCTTTTTTTTTTTTTGAAGATTTTTATCTGTTGGAGGTGTTTCATAAATGTTTTCCATACAGCTGATTGAGGAACGAATGCTGCCGATTCCAGAGCTAATTTCAGACTGTCCCAGTCGGTTAGTCAGCCATCCAAAAATGTAGTCATGAGTTTGTTGATTCCCGAACCGTGTAAAAGCTGCCACACTCTGAGGAACCATCTTCTCCCACTGAAAGAGAAGATGACGTTTGTTGTTCTAAACAACAGTGGATGTAAACAACCATTTGTTAAAACACAGTAGTGAATTGTTCAATTTAAACTTACGGTCTGAAATGTGAAAGTCATCCATACTCTGTGCTATTGTTGAAAAAGGCCCTGTTGGTTCTTCTGCTTCCTTTGCTAAAGCTTTCATCACTCTTTCTATCAACTTCTGTTCCCTTTTTCTCCATTCCTCTTGTTTCTGTATTCTTCGCCAAGGAAGTTTCTGACTGATTTTCTTTTTGGTTTTGCATGTAAAGCTTTCCCCGTTTTGTTTGACCATAACTGTGATTTTTTTAAACAGCTCTTTGACTTGATCAGAATCATCATAGTGTCTGGGGTTTAGAACATGGTATCTGTTCCCACATTTCTCCAAAAGCTCTTGGATCCCCTTTCCCTCTCTGACGATGTAGTTCTCTACAGGACAATCGTTGAGCCAGTATCCCCAGGTAAACAGCACCATGCAGTGTCTCCACACTCTCTCTGTTAATGGCATCAAGACCTCCAACAGAGCTTCCAGGTCTTTCTCTTTGAAAGCTCTAAAGATCGGAACAACCAAGAGGAAAATATGAGGTCCAGGAGAACACATGGAGACACCATGGAGAACTTCCTCTTTGATCCAGTCAGGTGGTGATGGGTCTGAGAACCAGCCTGGTGTTTCCACAACTGAGACTTTTACTCCATTAAAGTCTCCCTCGTGTTTTACACATGTTTCAGATCTCTGATCCTGGTAGCTCTGGAAATAAATGATAAAATAGAAAATATAGTTTAGGAAATGTTCTACTCTAAGTACATCTTCAGTGTGGATGTGTGAAAAGTATTTTGCTTAATTAGCATGTTGGGTTACCTTTTCCAACCAAGCTCTAAATAAAGTTTTCTTAAAATTATACTTGGAAAGGATCAGATTTCCAACTTCACTCTTTCCTGAACATTTCTGCCCAACAAGAATAATCCTGATCCCAGTGAGTAGATGTCTCTCACCTGTAAAACAGCCATAAAAGGTCATTTCCTTCAGTCATTAAACATTAATTTAGAATGATATCATTTTTATATTTCTTTCTTACCTCCATACAGCTCCTTTATTACTCTCAATTGTCTCTCCTTGATCTTCTTCAACCTAATAGCCATCTTGTCTCCAGCCTCTTTCTCAGCTTCTATGTGTGCTGCTCGACCCAGATCCACCTTATAATAAGGATCTTCATTTCCTGTCCACATTTCTTCAATCTTCTCAATGAGCTCCTTCACCTGAGTCTTATCACTGTCATCCTTGTTGTTCAGGGCATGATACCTGTTCTCACACCTGTTCACTATCCACTGCAGACCTTCATCACTCTTCATTCGCTCCTCCACAGTCTTCACTCCTAACCAGTCTCTTGCAGTAAACAGAACAATTGTGTGTTTCCAGATTTCTTCTCTAAACATACTCATGTGTTCCTGGACAACAGTAAGATATGGAGCATTGATATCTATTATCAAAGGAATAACCAGCAGAACAGCATGTGGTCCTGGAGCACAGAGATTCACACTCTTCTCAATTTCCAATTTGTCCATCTCATTGGTGTCCTGAAGGCTGTGGGTGTAGAACCACCCGGGAGAATCTACCACCATGAGACGCCTTCCTTCAAAGACACTGTGGCTTATTTTGGTGCATGTGGTTGCTCTTTGTTTTATTTTAGTTACATCAAATGCATTTTTTCCTAGTATGGTGTTTCCCGATGAGCTTTTACCAGAACTGGCACCACCAATCATCACTATTCTTAAATGGTTTGGAGGGACATTTACACCTAAACCAACAAAACAAAAAGAGAAATGAACATATTCTGTAGTTTTATCGATAAAAAAAAATCAGGAAGCCAGATTGCCTGGCTATAATGTCCTATTTAAAATTTTATAATGTCTGTATAAAAATGCATTCATGTGGAAAAAGTTTAAAGGTTTTTTTATGTTTTCTGACCTGAGTTGGAAATATAATCTGAAGCAGCCATTTCCTCCATCACACGTCAACCTAAGTTTGTTGACTTTTCGACTTTTCTCATATTGCAAAACCTGTTTCTAAGGTAAAGCAAATAGAGCAGAGGTGGTTTTTGTTATTTTGTGGTTGGTTGGCAAAGTCAAACTTTGCAAGACAAGGCACATTTATTTGTATAGCACAATTCAGAACAAAGACAATGCAAAGTGCTTTACATGGTTAAAATATAGGAAAATAAAACACAATCAGAGCAAGTAGAAGAAAAAAAGAAATAATAAAAAGATGCAGAAACAAGAAAGAACATTAAAAGCAGTTGGACAAAAAAAAAATTAACTAATGATGTCTGAGTTGAACTTTTCAACTAGAACAGTCAAAGGCGATCCTAAACAAATGTGCTTTTAGTCTTGATTTAGAGGAACTCAGGCTTTCCGCACATTTACAGTTTTCTGGAAGTTTGTTCCAGGTAAGTGGAGCAAGGGAACTAAATGCTGCTTCTCCATGTTTAGTTTCAGATCATCATCTGAAAGATAACTAGAAGAACAAGTATATTGTAGCTAAAATAAAAAATTAAAGTGTAATGAAGTGTTAAGAGAACTTTGTTTAATAAAATCCAAGCACCTATTAAATCATGAAATTTAATAATATAGCATGAACATTAAAACTGGCTTCCAAAATATGTCCAAATTGTAATTTAGAAAAGCAATAAAAAAGGATCCCATTTGATTTCTCAGAAATACTCCATATACCATATGCATCATTTTGGACAGAACCAACTTCATTAAATCAGAGAAGTAAACATATGTATTTACTCTTGTGCCTTTAGAGTAATGCTGATTTAATTGCCTAACAAACTGAGCAGATACAGTGTAGTGTGACTTATATGCATTTGTGGGTTGCTCTGGTTTAAGGGTTAGTTTTTCAAAGATTTCCATAAAGATATACTTTACATTCTCTATTTACCTCTTGTCAGTCAACCTGGAAACAAGATGACAACAGGAATGAAGTTTTGGGTTATTTCAACCCAGAGCTACCAACTGTCTGCAACAAGATGGTATAAAAATTCCCATTTAACTTTTTTGGGGGCCAACTGAAATCCTCCATAGCAGGTGACTGAGGGGATAACCATTGTTTTAAAAGTTTACTTTACATATCTTGTCCCAAAACAGTTAAAATGAGGAAAAACAGAGACATCTTTACTTTCCTGACTCAAAAGATTGACTTAGAGTGTAGTCTCAAGCTTCCCTAGCTTAATAAGTGACATTACATTGGTTTCTGCAATTGTTTGACTTAAAGTACTCAATGAAAATATTTTTGGATATTTTTCTTGGAGCTAATCAGGCCATCCAATACAATATGACCAAATACAATATTATAAGGATTGAGCATTATTTTTTCTTGTGTTACATCACTTCCTAAAGGGAGATCAACTGTATAGGAAAACAAACAAATGTCAAACCTCTCAAATTTTTCCCACTTGTACAAAATCTGCCTGAAATACAATATCTTTCATCATTAAAATGCAAGTTAACATCCAGTTTTGCTTTTATAACATTAGGTTAGATAAAAGCCTCTGAATTAAACATAGTCTGGCAATAAAATGAACCAGATTATACTTTAAATGGGGTCAAATTTAAAGGAAGGTTTTATGAAAAGATATCTGACCTGAGTTGAAAATATCAGCTGAAGCAGCCATATCATTTGCTTCTCTCTGCCAACCTCACTGTTTTTTTGTCTGTTGTTCAGGACAGTAAATAGAGCAGGGGTGGAGTTTAATGAGGGATATGGTTGATTATGTCAGACATGGTCAGAGACTAGCTTCAGTTTTATGGTTGTTACACAAAGAAAATATTGAACTAAAAGTACTGTAGTTGGAAACATGTAACAATTAATTTAAAAAATGTAGGAATTTGTATGAGTAATAATGAGAACAGATTAATTATTTAATTAGCATAGCAGTCGATTAATTAAAAATTCCAAAGGCAAAGAGCACTTCACGATTTAATCATGTTACATTATTTTAAATATTTCTCTCATTAAATCCAGAAACAGTTAATCGTTATATGACTGTCTCCTAAAATCTGATAACATACAGTAAACGGAAACATGGAAGCAAACAACTTAAAACAATAAGATTCTACATCAAAAAAGGGGTTATATATGCCATTGTTGCTGTTCCTGTCACTCAGATGTTGATTACTTCTTTCTTAAATGAAGTGACTGAAGCATCATAATGCTGACACTCCAGTTTGCTTCTTTTAATTTCAAAACTAGTATAGATGACAGATGTTTGAATTATTTTGCATCACTGCTGCACATAGACTTCAATGATTATCATTTTATTAATTATTTTCCATCGTTTGAAAGTTTTTGTTCCCACATAAAATACATATAATTTCAATTTCTATATCTTTACTGGCTAAGGGTTACAATGCTGTGCAAATCTCTGATTTTATTGAGTATTTTTTTTCATTCAATCCAGACCTAACGTATTGCATTAACAAATATCTAAACACATAAAAGACATCACTACAACGGGTGAAAATAGCAGTTGTGAAGCACTTTGAAATAATAAGGTCCAGAAACCATGGTAAGACTGTAGCAAAAAAGGACTGTTCCTTCTAAAATGATTGTTTTTTCCTCTCTTGTCTAAGTCTCATAAGGAAATCCAACCACAGTCGGTCAAAAATATTTCAGAGAGTTCTATAATCGCCATGGAGCAGTAAGCTTAATAACCCCTCCCTGAACCCGACCCTGGTCCAAAGACTCCATAAGAGGCTTGGCCTCTCTGGAAATAATGGTATCTTGCTTGTTATCCAATCAGGGCCCCATTCTTTCTCATTGGATGCTTAAAAACACGAAAGCTAAAACCTCAACAGAGATTTTGCATACTTACAATCAGTGTCCTGCCACTCCAAAGTAGAGGGAACATTGTGCAAGAATGGGCTTAACAGCTGATTAATGCACAAAATACTCATAAAATTGACCGCATTTTAGTGCACATTTAATCCTATTTAATGAATGCATTAATGTTTCAATGAGGTACTAGGATGTTTTTGCCGATAAGAAGACTTTTCTTTTGTGGTAAGAGAATTTGGTCTTTAAAGTTTGTATCCAGGGTTGGGAGGGGTTAGCTGAAATCTTTCCTGTTCAACTAGGAGTCGTGAAGACGTACAATTTCGGAAGTGAAGCAAGATTGCTGCCTGTCAACTTCACTGCAGCCTGCTCTTGTACCTCATAATGACAGCCTTCTATTTGATGGGGATGAAAGAGGATAGGATAGACATTGTTTTTTTGTATTAATGAGGGGCTTGCTGCAAACGTCCTTTAATTTAACTCTAACAGGAACAAAACTTGGACCTAAGTGATATATATCCTAATATATCCATATGACTCCCATTCTGTGTTATGTGACACATATTTGCACTTAAGAAAGTCCAAATCCAGGGGAGTTTTGTATCCCAAAGTCCATGCCTCTTTTAAACTATCATATGTCTTGGACATCCGTATTTTGATTGTGTTTACAAAAGTGCTGCTGACTGGAAAGCAATAGGTTGTCTAAGGACACTTTAAGTTATGGCTGAATTCCCAAGGAAGGTAGTGTGTTTAATCTGGTGGCAAACATAAGGATGTCCTGGAGTGAGAGGTTTGTTTTACTTTTTGTTTTGTTCAACAACAAAAAAAAAAAGAGTTGAGATGAAGATATCACTGTTGTGCAGCATTTTTATATTTATTGCCCCCCTCCCCTCGCAATAAAGCCACAGCTTGTTAGCCTTGAAGGGAGACAGGGAAATTGTTACTTTTTTTTTTTTTTTTTTTTTTTTTACACTTTTGGTGATTGGCAGCCAACCTGCATTGTTTCCATTCAAGCTCAGTTCACTCCATATCAGTCTTTAACCATAGATCGACTTCATAATATGCATTCAAAACTTATTAATTCAAATTTGTTTATTCAGACTTTTCAAATATTTGTTCATTCACATTTCCTGAGCAATGATGGTCAATATCCTGCTCCAGACTCTGAACATCACCTGCTGCTGTTACCTGCAGGGCAGATTTGTGACTCTCCCACTGATGTGCTCCAACAGTGTGCAGCTGCGTCTACACTCACTCCTAGGCCGCTCTCAGTGACCATCACCTTCTTAAAATAGTTTTTTTTTAGGTAAAATAATTTTTTTGTTAAGTTTTAGGGTAAAATTGCAGATAAAACAAGTTTGCTTTTGCAGCATGTGGTTTTAAGCCAGAAGCTGAGCAGAAAACACCATGTATGAACATATTTTACTCAGGATTAGTGAAATGTCAGATGGGAAACCTTGCATATTTTTTAAGATCAAACTTGATTTAAGCATAAATGAACATGAACAATGACTAAGAAGAAATGTGTATGTTTGTGGAATGATTTTAACAGAGAACCAAAACAACAAAAAGGAGGTGTGCAGCAAAAATAAATGATGTTGTTGGTTAAATGAGTGGAGCATAATACTAATTTAAATTCACCAGTATATGCTCTGTAAAGTCTGGAATTTTCACCTGTTCCAACACTTC